TCAATAAATTGTTACCATGATACCATGTAAAAGTAAGAAACCCATTATTTAGCAGTTGGACCACGTTACTAAATGATTTTGATGCATTCTTTTTGGTCTGCTCCAAGTATTACCGACTTGTCTAAATCACATAGAATTGCTTCTAGTCCTGCGTGTTGGTCTGGTGATAAATCAATTTCCTGCATGATCAATTTTGCGAGATGGGCACATGTGCTCTGCACGGACGAGAGTATGCATGATCTGCATTGTGATTCTCATATTTCAATACGGCACGTGTTGAGACGACTATCTTTGTTTCACAGAATGACATTCTTATGTAATATCTCTCTTTCTATTTGATTCGTTACGTGTTGAGTTCACACATAAGAATCCCTGTTCAAATAACATCTTTTCAAGTGATTTAGGTGCAAAAATTGTTCTAGAAGCTTGGTTAATCCACTACCGTTCATAATATACCCTATGGCTCCCATGAAAGACATCAATAACTGAAACCCTAATCGTATAATGACATTTTTCAATTTTGCTTCAATGCCACTCGAACAATTTGTTTTGCTTTAAAATACAGTGGCTGATCAAAAGTGATGAAACATGTTTGCTGATTTAATGACTTTTCTCAGAGGATGTTGCTAAAACAGTAAAAATCGTGTGGGAGTTAATCTGTGGTGCATTAATGAAAGGCAAACAAGCTATAGAAGATTTCTGATATGAATGGTTTACTGCCACTTCTTCCATAAATCCATTATATTTAGGTATATTACGCAAATGAGTCCAGCAGATCTGAAGTTGCCGACATTATTGTATTTGCGAGTAAAGAAATATTATGGAGATCTATAATAGGAATTCTCTGTAGACTGGAAAAATTATCTTCTCATGGCTTCGTAGTGCAATGCTACCAGAATGTTCAACGTACTCAGCTGACGGCAATTTTGTGAGACGAGGAATATTCTGATCAGAAGCAATCACACTTGCTGGCATTATACAATGGATACAATGAAAAGTGTTTCTGCCATCCAGGGTTTTAGTATTAAAGTCCGCATTGTCGAAAACAAACTGTGAAAAGGTACTCCCGTCAATACCCAACGGAGGGCGCGTCAAAGCCGAAACTTAAAAAAGTGTTGCTTCGGTGTACGTGGAACAAAATCTTAGTGAAGCCAAAGTGTCAATCAGCTTACGAGATCCATATGCAACTTTTAGATTTGAGCGGTAGGCTCAATGAATAAAATTTGTAATGCTTTACACGCTGCGTATTTGCTCATTTTTGTAATTATTGTACACGAAAACGGTTGGTTATATGAAAAAAATGATAAAGATAAATTTGGTAGAGAAAATTATGTAGTTTAATTTACTACATAACCATTTTTACTGCAAAAGCAACGAGTAACGAGATATCCTGAAAAATCTCTTTTTTACAATTTACTGCAATATGGCAGCGACAGCGGCAAAGATACGAGGTGGCAAAATAAAAATTTGGAAAAAGCAGCTCAAAATACGTAGAATCACAAAATATCAAAACTTCCGCAATTTTTCCAGGTAAATTTACGCAGTTACTGGAATATTTAAATGCGATATAATTAATGAGGGATTAAAAAATCTGTGAAATTTCAAAATTTTTATTGCTGAACCGAAATTTGTTTTTTCAAAAATTTATTTAGGCCATTAGATAGATAATAATAAAACAAACAACTTTTCCGAATACTCTTTTAAATGCAATTTGGGTAGTATGGGATTTAGAGAGCATTGAAATTTCAAAATTTTTATTGCTGGACTGAAATTTGTTTTTCAAAAATTTATTTAGACCATTCGATAGATAATAATAAAACAAACAACTTTTCCAAATACTTTTTTAAATGATATATGGGTAATAAGGCATGTAGAGAGCATTGTAATTTCAAAGCTTCTATTGTTGAACCGAAAGTTGCATTTTTTAATAATTGAAATGAACCATTCCGTAGATAATTAAAAAACAAACAACTTTTTCTAATATCATTTTAAATGCTACATGGGTAATAAGGCATTTAGAGTGTTGATATTTTATAGTTTTTAGTGCTGAACCGAATTTTGATTTTTTCAAAAATTTATTTACGCTATTTGATAGATAATAATAAAACAAACAACTATTTAAAATAACATTTTAAATGCTATATGGGTAATAATGGATTTAGAGAGCTTCGAGATTTCAAATTTTTTATTGCTGGAACGAAATTTGTTTTTTTGAAAAATTTATATAGGTCATTGGATAGATAATAAAACAAACAACTTTTCGAAATACCACTTTAAATGTTATATGGGTAATAAGGGATTTAGGGAGCTTTGAAATTTCAAAGTTGTTTTTTTTATCTATTGAACGGCATAAATAAATTAAAAAAAAAGAAATTTCGGTTCAGCAATAAAAACTTTAAAATTTCAAATGAGTTTTTGACAGCCAATAGTTATTCTTTTGATACTGATTTAAAAGAAATAAAAACAACAATTAATGATTTGAAAATAGAGATAAGCTCTTTTATAGGTAATAGAACTGATGACGCGTATAAGAAAATGTCATCTAGGCTTATTCATGTTAATGATGGGGTTCACAGAATGAATATAACTGATGATGATCAAATTGAGACACAAAATGAACTTAAACTAGAAATAATTAATGTAGAAGCAGATTTAGACGCTAAAATGTTTGATCCACTACAGGCTAATTTTTCAAATAATACAATGATGAATGTACTTAATTCAAATGTTTATACTGTTAAACAAAATGACATCCATAAATTGAATATAACTTTCGATGGTACTAGTAGTATGCTTTATGATTTTTTATCTCAAATTGAAATGCTTCACGAAGTTTTCTTGAAATGTTTTGAATTTTTTAAAGGGTCAGCTTTAACGTGGTACATGAGTGCAAAATCAGGATTTAAGTCTTATCAAGAAGCAGTTGCTAAACTTAAAGAAGACTTCTTACCTATTAATAATCAATTTGATTTAGAATTAGAAAAGGCTTCTATGCAACCTATTGATCATACAGTTGGCTTATTCAGACTTAGCTACTACTATACATCTATACATCAGCTAAATTACTAATGAAATCAATGTTGGGGGTGGTATGTTATTACTATTAAATAAGTAAAAAATGTGAAGTTATAAAAGTTGAAAATCGCAAATCGATATCCGAAAAGTCGGAGAAATATCTGAAAAGTGGCTGAAAATAAAGTGGAACCAATTTGGTACATACAGGGTGGGAGGTCTCTCGGATTCAGATAGAACATTAAAAAATAAGATGACAAGTTCCCATAATTTTCTAGCGGCCCTCCCTACGGAGATACGGCCTCCAAAAGGACGCCACTGAAAATCAATTTTCCTTGAATAACTTTCAAACTACGTAATATAATTTAATGAAATTAATACGATAAACAGTATCAAGAACCTCTTAAAATACTGCCCTTAAAACATAATTAGCTTGTTTAGTTTACCAGGGGCGGACTAGGTTGTACATTTTTAACACCTTGTATGATAAGGAGTTAAAAAAATAAATTTCGATACCTTGAACATTGAGCTAAAGACCTTTTCTTCATTGTCGATAAAATGAACCGTTTTCGAGAAAAAAATAATAATAAAAGAATTAATGTTTTATTTTTATTAAAAAAATTAATTCCCAGAATTAGCTAATTTTAAATTGGTAAATTCTAAAATACAACTTGGAGTATTATGTTTTCATCCTGAACTCTCTAAAGCTTGTAACGATTGAACCTAAATACGCTAATTAGAAATAATTAATTAAAAACTTTATAAAATACATGCCTCGGCGGGTATCAGGCGGAAAATTCTAATATTAATTGATTGGAATTAATGTTGATAATGATGAACAACAGTGGCATGAGAGTTTTCATTGGCCCTTACATGCGAGTTATGTAAATTTACAATACCATTTTTGGTAAACCCTGCTTCATCGTTAAAAAGAATAGTGCTAATGCAGTTTCTGTTTGTTCGTTGCTGATCTAACAGCCAGTTTGCGAACTGGATTCTTCGAGGAAAATCTTCAGGAAGTAGTTGATGCACTTTTTGCAGATGATAAGAGTATAACAACTATTCTTTAAGTACTTCAGCAATTGTCGTTTTTGACACATGAAGCTGCGCGGCTAATCTTCCAGTACTTATTGAAGCTACAGTATCCAAAATAGTTTCCTCCAATTGCACCGTACGTACTGTTCTTGTTACACAAGCATCAGTACTTTCTAAAACTTATTAAAGAAAGTCAGTAATGTTAATGTTATTATTAACTGGGAATCGCCCACCAATCTCTAGACGTTGGTCAATCGCTGAAAAATTTTCTCATTTGGAATATTGCGGTTAGGATATCTATCTTCATTCAACCTTCTTGCTTCATAAGCATTGCAAGATGCAAGATCGTACATAAGATGCATATCTGCATACTCACTAATTGTGTATCCCATTATCGAATTAAATTTACCAAGATATTCAAAATTCAATAAATTAATATCGGAGTACTAAAAGATCAACGTGTGAACAAGATTTAAAATGCACATGTCAATGCAATTATTCATTTATTTCGTAGGTAGTAACGTTTGTAAAAATAGTGCGTTTTTTACCATTGATAACAGTTCTATTTCAATGACTTTCGAATAACTACAGACAAAAAAAAATGGAAATAATGGTTTCTTTTTAATAAAAATAAAACATAAATTTTTATTTTTTTTAAAAGAATTAATGTTTTATTTTTATTAAAAAGAAACCATGATTTCCAATATTATTTATATTAATAATCGTTGTCTTTTTTATCTGTTTTATTATATCTATGTATTAAAACTGCACTCTTAAGTTTTTATATATATTATCTATTTCTTGTATCTTTTAAACAGTATATTTAACATTATTTACTTTTTAATATGTTACTTACTTTGTCACTGAGATGTAAATCTTCGTACAATAAAACGACTTTGATTTGATTTATTTTTGAAAGACAAGCTCGAAAAATTTAACTTTCTTACCAGGTGGTCAATAAATCTTTTAATTTCAGGTCATTTGTTGAATGGAAGAGGAGAGAAATGGTGGGATGGAAAAGGTGATCACAGCAAGAAACAGAAGCCTAAATTCATGCTCATTCAAAAACATCAAAGTAAAAAATTGCCCACACACTTGTATTGGAATCTCTGATTCGCATGACTTGACTTTGCAAAACTGGAATATTGATTCTAAAGATGGAGACACAGTAAGTAACTTTTGTTATTGGCTAAATTATAAAATGCGTATTTAATAGCCCAAAAGTGTATTTCTTTGTCTATGTTATTTTAATCTTTCTATGTTAACCAATGTCTGATAACCAATGTCTGTTAACCAATGTCTGTTAACCAATGTCTGTTAACCAATCTTTGTTTTCCAAGCGTCTTGTTTATTGAGATTTTATTGTTTCGTATTCACTGGTTCGTTATACAGACTCCTTAATTCTTCATTTTTTTCATTTTCGTACATCTTTAATTTTTTCCAGCATCGGTCTTCTAAGACGTTGGTTACGATTGATGTCAAGGTATTTTGCTTCTGATGCCGTTGGAATGCTTCCATGGTATTTTTATTTTCTACCACTACAAATTTTCTTCATTTATTTTTCGTTTATACACTGTTGAACAGGATACCCAAATGAAGAAAATGTACAAGCTAATACAAGAGAAAATGATTCTTAATTTTGTTTACAGTCCAAATAAAAATGTTTCACACATGTTACATGAATAGTAGAATTTTTTAATTACATTTATTCTAGGCACTGGAAAGTAAAAAGTAATTACAGATTTTAAAAATAATTGAGGAACAAGAAAGTTGATCCTTTCTTAAATGGTGGAATCATCAATAACTTAAATATAAATTATACACACATCAATTCGTCCCCCTAGTGCAACAACTAGATAACTTGAAATTTATAGTTTTGAGAAAATCCACTTTAAAGATCCAAAACGCAAAAAAATCCACCTGTTAAGTAATCAAAAATATTTAATATCTATAGAGATATGTTGCATATCAAGTTATAATTTGTTAATTTTAAAAACAATTGGGTTTTATATCTTTGCAGAATTTAATCAAAAACTTGAGATATCTAGTTGTTGCTGAAAAAAGAGTAAAGTTATCTATTTATAACCACTAGCAATTAAACGCAAATCACCTACTAAATACAACTTCATTTGGAAAAAATGAACAATATTAGTTTAAACAAAACCCAAAAGATTCTACCCTTAACATAACTTAAGTGTCAATATCACTGATGTCACTTTCGGAATCTACCATGTTTTGAGACCGTTTACGTTGGTCTCCTTGGAATTGAAGACTTTCAAAAAATGCTTTATACTCGCTAGGGAGGGCCGGATGATTCGTTTTGAACAAAGACATAAGGTCGTCATATTTTTCTTTTTTAAGTGGTAGTTGACTTTGATACAAAGGGTGTTGGTTATTATTTAAAGACGATATACGTGTTTTACGATTACAGTTTAGTCGTCTAAACTCTCCATCAAAATCTTCTTTAAAATTAATAATAAATGGCGTCGATTTTGAAAAGTTCATCCAGCATATTTTCTGCCAACTAACGGCTTTCATCTTCTTTCCTAAATATTAATTTTTGGTCTGCATAAGTTTTCCAGTCAAGAATTTGATTATGTCTAACATCGTGAACCAAATAGGGTTTATCACCTCTTCTTCTTGCAGACCGTGCTATAGTTTTCCAACCTTCATGCCCGTTTGATTTCTCTTTTTAGTTCCGTAGATATAGCAGAATGCATTGAATCGCATTTTATCTCACTATGACTAACCACAAGAAATTTTAGTTCGATAGTTTGCAAGTGTGGAATTTCCTAAACCGCAGTTAAACACATAGCTGCTACATATTTGTTGAGATTTTGTTCTCCACATCTATCACTGTAGCAAATAATATGTTTAATATTTACAGGTAATGAATTGAAATAACTATAAAGGCAACTAGCAATTTCACAACTCCCACGTTTACCTTCAACTTCACTCCACATGTAGCAGTCCCCTTGTTTAGAAACAACATTGTAAATTGTAAAGTTGAACGATTTCAAACGCTATTTATAAAATAATGCATTGTTCGACGGGTCATTAGGAACCATGAGAACTTGTTGGAGATCAAAATTGAAACATAAAATATTTCTGTTGGCGATTTCAGCTATTTCCTTGTCGAACCTTTTTTCCTCCCGGGCCCTATCTTTGGCAGCAAGATGTGCTTGATAATTAGCTCCTATAATTTCTGTTTTAATGCTACTGGTATATTGTAACTCATACATATACGGCACTGGTCCTTTCACGGACGGTAAAATCCCAAGTTATATTCTTCACAAAATATCTTTCTGTACATTGACGAACTTATGAACGGTAAATTTTTTTCTGTATAATCCTCTTTATACATTGTGTACATTATAGTAATATTAAGATGCTTTGAGTTTTTTCGCTACAATAATGTGAAGCCATGACGGGAACCCTTTCAATATGGCTTCTTACACCCTGTAAAGTTTCTGGAGGTGTGACTTTCTTCGCACCTTTGCCTCTTTGATCAGCTGCACTAATGTTTTCTTTCATTTGATTCTGCATTGCAATATCCATCACTTCTTTTCGTATACCCAAAGTATTTATAAACATAGTCTTACAAACTTGTGTTTTTCCAAGATTGGTAGGCAAAAAAAAATAATCGTGTATTGGCGTTTGGAATTCTCCTTAGTTGTCCATTTTTTTGGAATTTTTTCCGTGTTACTGTGTATAAAGTCCCTTTTACGTTCATATGAATCAAGCCGATAGTATGTTTGAAAAATCTTAAGTCCAGCTTCATTGGTTAATTTGCCATTGCATTTTTTTCTACATGTTGCACTGCACGGATCCTTCATCAAAACCCCTGGGACGTATTTTCCTCTAATAGAAACGCAAGCTTCTCCAGGCTGTCTTCTTTGTTTCGCAATATTTCTTCTCCAGTTATCAATATTCCTTTTTCTTTTTCTTGTTTGTTTTGTTCTAATAGGAATTTATTCCATACCCCCAAGCTGAATGTCTCCTTCAATACCTACTTGTTCTTCAGATGTTTCACTTGAAGAACTTGGAGCATATTCTGAATAATCGGGTAAAAATGGTTCAATATCTGAATCCAATTTTTCTAATAATGGTGAACATGGAACCAGGCCTATTGTCATCTGAAATAATGAAATATCTTGTAGAGAGCACTAATATTTATTCTTAAAATAAACTCACTAATTTGAAAAAAATCTTACCAGAAACATAATTTTTCTCATTTTCTACTAATTTTGGCATTTCTAAGGAAGAAACAGCATCTATAAGAAAAACATAAATTAAAAACCGTTTAAGAAGAAAAACCATTGATATTTTAATACTAAGTGTTGGAGGCAAGTTAACACTTAGTATTAAAATACCAAAATTCTTCAAATTCCTAGGAATTAAAAGTGCAACTTTTTTCACCAGACTACATAAAACTAATTACATAACCTCATTTTATAAATTAAATCTGTTTTTAAATGTATATAAATAGATTTTGACATCATTTTCTAACTGGCTACGTAGAATTTCCAAAATTTTCTTTCCCCTTGACGTCATTTTTGCATTAACACTGTTTAAAAAACACCTTACAAACAATTTAGCAGCACATAAATAAACCTATTGTTTCAAGCACACAACTAGATATCTCATGGCGACCAAGAAGGTGTCGGCGGGTAACTCGATAATGCCAGTGCTACAACTAGATATCTCAAGATGTCTAGTTATAAAATGTATATATTGGGAGTTATCTGTTTTTAGTCAATTTTTAATTTAAGTTTGGCTGCTGGTACATGATATCTAGTTGTTGCATTGAAAAGAGCAAGAAAAATAAGACAGAATTAACTGGATAACTCAAAATGCCGAAATTTCGAGTTATCTAGTTGTTGCACTAATTGGGCGAATTATTCTATGTTTTCTATATCAGATGTTCTCACAATTTCTATCTCTGCTGTTTTTCCTTTAGATATAATGAAATGCCTGTTGCGTTATTTGCCATAGGAGTAGTTGTTTTCTAAAGGCAAAAGGTGGCTCGTATTATTATGTGATTCTGGCTTTGAGTTTTATTTATTTTATTTTTTTCTCATAATTTGTTTGTATCGACCCTTTGTCGATACATCCCTTTTCACCATTATCAAAGATTTCATTATTCTAAAGTTTTATGTTGGTAATGTTTCATATTTAATTTTTCCCCATGAAATATTTCTTAAATTTTAACCCCATTACTTTTGGTGGTTGGACGATTAGAGTAGAATTTGGGTTAATTTTTAAAAAATATGTATTTCTTTTATTGTTTTTTAGAAAGGAGGAGCCAATACCGATGGTTTCGATGTTGCAAAATCCTACAAAGTAACTATAAAAGATACTAACGTTTGGAACCAAGATGACTGCATATGCGTCAACCAGGGTCACGATCTTCTTTTTGATAATATACAATGTACCGGAGGACATGGTTTAAGTATTGCAGTTGGCATTTATAATACTTACGCTCTCAATACTGTTCACAACGTAACTTTCCAAAATTCTGTTGTTAAAAATTCAAGGAATGGTATCCACGTTAAGACCATCGCTGGTTCACAGACAGGAGAGATTTCAGCTGTCACATATAAAAATATAAAACTTTCAGGTAAGATAGTTTATATTTAAAAAACAAAGTATGCCTCTGAACAGTTTCTTTCCCATATTAGACCATTTTTAACCGACTTCAAAAAAAGGAGGAGGTTCTCAATTCGTCGTAATATTTTTTTTATGTATGTTCAGCGATAATTCTATAACACGGTGTTTGATTTTAATGATTTTTTTTGTTAGAAAGGGGGTACTTCAGGGGTGGTCCCATATAAATATGGTTAAAATCTAATAATTTTTTATGTATGTTTAGCGGTAACTCTTTACCATCTTATCCAATTTCTATGATTCTTTTTTTGTTAGTAAGGGGTACCTCAGGGGTGATCCCCTATAAATTTCGTGTGATGGCATCTGCACGATTTTGAAGTTGATTTTTAAAATTACTTTTTTAACAAATTAAAAAAAATAACGATAAGATACCTCAATTTTTTATTGACATATATTTTCATATTACATTCAAATTTTAATGGATTTCTGTATTTTTTTTTTTTAATTTTAATGTTAATACAGAAAAGCATCTTTGAGTAATGTTTTTCTTTACTATATAAAATATTAGCTAAATTATCCATTAACTTTGGTTGCATATTTGGTATTTAAGAGCTTTGTTATTTTAGAGGTAGTGCGTATTAACTTAAAAAATAATCTTATCAAAACCAAGTCAGGATAAAAATTAATGTTTAACAACGATTTGTAGGTATTTCATATTACGGGATCAACGTACAACAAGACTACACAAACAATGGTGACACTCACAAACCATTAGGTAATATCAAAATCAAACAGCTTACTATGCAGGGCATTTCTGGTACTTTGCATGGTTCCAATTCTCAAAGAGTATACATTCTGTGTGGATCTGGAGGATGCAACAATTGGAGCTGGAGTGGAGTCAATCTTAGCGGCGCTTCAAAAGGCGATTCTTGTAACTTTTCTCCAAATGGATTTCCATGTTAGAATTAGGATTTATGCGAATTATATCGAAAATTTAAATACATAGAATTGAAAAATGTTTTAATAATTATCCTAACCCCACTTCACATGATAATCTACTGTATGCTCAGCTCAACGAGTACGTTGATACCATACATCCAGTATATCGCAAATATTATAGCATGCGCATTGAGTCGTTTTCAGACGATGCTACGTCATTAACAGTGCCGGATTTATTTCCAATGTTGAAATTATTTTTTGGTTAAATAATAAGGAGTTTTGATTTTTACAAACATATATTACGTTCATCGTTGGTCTCACAGGTAATTTTAATTAGTCTTATAAAACAGATATAGAAGAATTTGAATAGTTATTTAACGATCTAGTGTATTATTTCTCTTTTAATATTAGTTCGTTTTAAGATTTCTCTATTAAAATAAAAAAAAAATTAACTGCAAATTTCGTACAAATTTCAATGCTTGATTTAGTAGTGTAAATTTGCTTACAGTATTACAAAAAATATCAATTTTCCTTCGCTTGTCCTTGATATAATTACATTGTAGTTTCCTTGAAACCTACTCATCAGCACGTATTTTTTCTAGAGTAAACGAAATGCTCCATATTCACTGCTCCTATAGTATACCAAACCTGCATATAATTCCTTTTTTCGTGCTCACCAGCAACGGACTAAATTAAAAATGCTAAAACGCGCTCATTTTTCTTAAGATCGGGATAAAAATAGTGCAAAACAAAATTGACAAGGTAGTTAGGTGAAATACTTACAGGAACAAATAAAAAGAGTATAGCTCTAATGAAGAATCAACAGGTAGGCTGTTATTATATTTCATCACTAATATAAAATATTGCTTATACAGGGGAAAACGTACGTTATCCCTTCTGAATATCGAAAATAAACTACTTTATTTTATAAAACAATGCAATTATATTTAAAAGTAATTATAATTATTATAATTATAATAATTCGTTTTGGTTCCTTTACCAATCAATATTTTACATTCTAAGTATATTTTATATTCGTTAACATCAACAAAGCATAAATGTGTTCCCTCGAAATATCCCATAAAGTTTGTTTGGATATCGTATTACACAACATCGTCGTCATATTTCTTGCATTTGAAAAAATCGAGATAAAAATAAAATATCTTTTAAAATACCGGGCGGTATTTTCTAAGAGGAAATCGAGTGATTTCATTGACGAAATATTCATTTAATCTTGTCTTTTATCATCCTATTGTTTTAATTAACAAAATAGGCGTTCCTTATTCTTGCATAAATATAGATCATTAGGAAGTCGAGCGATTCTTGATGATTTTTCTGTTTTGACTTATAAATGGAAGAACGTGTGTTGCCCCTTCTGAATACTTTTGCAGTAGTTCTATGTAAAAATAGTATCTTTTAAAATATCGGGCGGTATTTTCTAAGAGGAAATCGAGTGATTTCATTGAGACGAAATATTCATGTAACTTTGTCTTAACTCTACTGTTTGAATTAACAGAATAGACGTTCGCTATTCTTGTATAAATATAGATCATTAGGAAGTTGAGCAATTCTTGATGATTTTTCTCTTTTTATGGACTTATTCAGATAAGAATGTATGTTATCCCTTCTAAATACTTTTGTACTAATTTTATGAAAAAATAATATTTTTTAAAATACCAGACTGTATTTTCTAAGAGCAAATCGAACAATTTCATTGAGGCGAAATATTCATTTAACCTTGTCTTAACTCTTCTGTTTGAATTAACAGAATAGACGTTCGCTATTCTTGTATAAATGTATATCATTAGACAGTCGAGAGATTCTTGATGATTTGTCTATTTTTATGGACTTATTCAGATAAAAATGTGTGTTATGCCTTCTAAATATTTTTGTACTAATTGTAAAAATAATATCTTTTAAAATACCGGGCGGTATTTTCTAAGACGAAATCGAGCGATTTCATTGAGATGAAATACTTATTTAACTTTGTCTTAACCCTGCTCTTTGGATTAAGCAGATTAGACCTTCATTATTCTTGCATAAATATATATCATTAGAGTCGGACATGTCTTGATGAAATTAGTTTTTTCTCTGCATTTATAAAGGGAAAACGTGTTTTCCCTTCTAAATACTGAAAAAATCATGCACTTTTTTTAGTAATTCTATACAAAAATAATGTTTTTTTAAAATACCGGGTAGTATTTTCTAAGAGGAAATCGAGCGATTTCACTTGAGACGAAATACTCATTTAACTTTGTCTTTTATGTTCCTACTTTATGAATTACGCAGAATAGACGTTTACTATTCTTACATAAATATAGGTCATTAGGAAGTCAAGCGATTCTTGATGATTTTTCTGTTTCTATGGATTTATACAGAGATGCATGTGTGTTATCCTTTCTAAATAAAAATTATTAGTTTTCTTTGACTAATAAATGTTTTTAAAATCATAAAAAATAAAAAAAAATACATGCGATTTTTTGTGTGTTATATAAAAATTATATGCAGTTGGATCTTCTTTCCTCTTAAAGTTATGAACGGTACTTAAAAGCAATCGAGCGATTTGCGATTTTATTAAGACGAAAAAATATTATCTTGTCTTTATTGGCCCTACTGTTTGAGGTAATAAGCAGAATATAGACGTAGAGAACATATCATTAGAAAATCGAGCGATTCTTGATGATTCTTCTGGTTTTCTGGGTTTCAGTGTAAATTATTATAAAAATAGAAAATACAACCAGATTGCAATGTTACTCTTTATGAAGAAATCGTTGTTCGTTAGAATTAATTTGTCAAATGGTATAGCCAGGGGATCAGCAAAAGAACTTTTCAATAATTACAAAATTCCGGCTAACGGTAAAACTCTAGAACGAAATTCAAGCCTGCTTGCCAAAACCATCGCAGGAACACGACCGATTTATCACAAAATTTAGGCATAAGTCTGTCAATTATTTAGCTATGTTCATCATGCCATGTCGGCTCATGTCCCTCATTTAAAATTGGAGGAATTTTAAGAACTTTGCAACATCACGCTAGAAATAGGTGCCTTTTGGGTTTATTACAGGCTTGTAAAAATATTAAACAAGACCGAGTGGACTTAAGTTAAGTTAAAGGATTATCAATACCATTTTATTCAAAACAATCGAACCATGTGTGAAAAGCCCAATAAATTTAATTAAAATTTATTATAGTGTACAATGGAAGAACGAAGGAAAAGAAGAAAGAGGGGGCCGTCAGACCATTACCCTAAGCTAAAGAAAGAGATTAAGATATACTATTATCAGAAATAATTTCCAAGGCGACGATCGATTCCTATCCGACCACCATAGTTAAGCCGTTAGCGCGGTTAGCACTTGGATGAGTAACCTTATCAACACAGTATCAAAGATATTAGTAGGTATATTCGTATCTTTTTATACTGCTACAAGTGACGATTTTACTCATATAAAATCTCTCGAAATAATAAAATATATTTCGATTCAAGGAGATTACCTTAAAAATCGTAGGAAAATTATCATTCCGAATTCATTATTACAAGAATTAGAATGGTTGCAGAAAAATGTTGGATTAGGTCAAGTTATAAAACCCAATCTGTTCTCGAGAGAGGTATTTTCAGATGTTTCACATACTGGTTGGTGTCCCTTTTGTATGTTTTTAAACACCACATTAACTTCTTAAAAATCAAGGCACTATTTGATGCTTTAAAATCTCTTGCAAAAAAACAAAAAATTTGCATATTACGGAGGCTGATAACCAAATAGCCATGTTTTGTATAAATCGATGTGGAATCATAAAATTAATTTTTGTCATATCTCGTCGACAGCAAACACAAATGCAGAGAGGAAATTAAGGTCAATTACCATAGATATAAATTAAACGTGTGTTTAACAATATTATAAAAAGGTTCAATTATGCGGAAACAGATTTGTTTGCCACAAAACTAAATTAGAAAATGTTCAAGATTTATTTCATGGTTTCCAGCCCCAGAATCTGAATGCATTTATCTTAAATTGGCTAATGGTCAGGATATTATGCCTTTCCTGTCTTTTTACTATTATGTTTGCTTATCTCTTCTTTTAGGAAGAGCCATTCACGCTACAACAAGATTTCCCTGGTGCCAAGGAAATTGTTCTAATCCTTTCTGATGGTGAAATACATTACAAAGGGTAAAATAAATCTAATAAATACTTATATGAAATGAAATATATTGAACACTCACTGATATCTAAATTGCATTAATTAGCCAGTCGCATTAGTCTAGGTAGAAGCGTATGATAATTTTAACGTCTCTAACAGTAGGTGCCCTAAATCAATTGATTAAACCAATATATCGTTAAAACGGAAAGAAATTAAAAACTCTGATAGAATAAAGATGAGACATATTATCAAGGAAACACAATTGTTTCGTAATAGAGAGCAATATCTCATACTGACTAGTGTACGCCACGCATTAACATTTGCTGCATTTAGGGTAGGTGTATGTATTTAATAGATAAGAAATATCGAAGGTTAGATACCTTCTTCTATAACATTTTTCACATTTTAAAACTATAAAAAAACGCAATGACAAATTTGCTAACACTATCATTGATTTGGAAATTAAATCAATTATTTGACCTATTAGGTTTCAAGGAAACTACAATGTAATTATATCTACGGACAAGCTCGGAAAATTACAATTAATCTTCCTTAAGGTAAGTCGATTAATTTTTTAATCAAGGATAGTTCACAACAATTCAAGTATAGACATAAATAAATTGTTATTAATAGAAAGTAGACCATTCATGGTACCCATTAATTCCCGATTTTGTCAACATTAACTGAATGGATCGATACACGGTTAACGGAAAAATATGAACAGTTGGTTTCACATAAAATGCGTGCATAAAAACCAAATTTGTTTTGACGCTTTTCAATATGGAGCTGGGCACGACCTGCTAATTAATGACAGGTATAAGACGGGTACAAAATAAATGGTGCAATTTTACTGAAAAATAACTATTGTACACATACATAGCTACAGGAGTTTTAGGTATATGATTAATGCAATTATAAAGAATGAGCTTAGAATTTTTTTTTCTGATAGATGTTCCCTTGCCAATTTAAGTTTGCGCATTAGCTATATTAACAATATGCAATTGATGTCCATGTCATTTTTTTTATTAATCCAATGTCGTCAACAGTAATTGGTGGCATTATTCTCTTACTTCAAAAGGTTGATAACGTGTGTCGAGGTTGTTTGCTCCACATAAAAATAGTATTGCCCTTTTTTGCAGACAAAAAACAGTATTGAATAACTCACAACTGGGTGGTGAACAAAATAGTGAATTTTTTTAAATCGATAATCGATTATATTCGATTCTTTTCTATTATTTTAGATTCTTTACTATTATTTTCGATTATTTTTGATTATAATCGATAATTTTCGATTATTTTCGCTTATTTTTGATTATTTTCGATTATTTTCGATTATTTTCGATTATTTTCGATTATTTTCGATTATTTTCGATTATTTTCGATTATTTTCGATTATTTTCGATTATTTTCGATTATTTTCGATTATTTTCGATTATTTTCGATTATTTTCGATTATTTTCGATTATTTTCGATTATTTTCGATTATTTTAGATTATTTTAGATTATTTTCGATTATTTTCGATTATTTTCGATTATTTTCGATTATTTTCGATTATTTTTGATTATTTTCGATTATTTTCGATTATTTTCGATTATTTTCGATTATTTTCGATTATTTTCGATTATTTTCGATTATTTTCGATTATTTTCGATTATTTTCGATTATGTTCGATTATTTTCGATTATTTTCGATTATTTTCGATTATTTTTGATTATTTTTGATTATTTTCGATTATTTTCGATTATTTTCGATTATTTTCGATTATTTTCGATTATTTTCGATTATTTTTGATTATTTTTGATTATTTTTAAATATTTTAGATTATTTT